GAAACCTGCAGTCGATGATGAACCCTTGCTCTCCGAAGGACCAGTCTTCGCAGCTGAGGCCAAAACGGCCTGGCTGGCCATCTGCAAAGTGTCAAGCATCTTCTGGAACTCACCGGCACCAAGGACTATTTCCCTAGGACTGGCATTTGCAGCAGGTGAGGCTGCAACAGGAGAGAACGGATTCCCCAACGGGTTCCCCCCGGGATGACCCTCGGCTCCCCTTTGACCTCCTACATCACTAAAGCTGTCATCATCATCTACATCTGCCATAACTGCTCAATCAAGGTCGATGGCAGTATCCGCAGGCTCACTTTGCAGGGGACAGGCAAATGCACACGCTGCCGCACTCGATGCACTGCTCGGTTCGGCACACAGATCAATGGGCTCTTCAAGGGTCGATTGAGGATTCAAGGAACTATCGAAAATTCCCAAGGCGTGGGACAGATGGCGCTCGAAGTCGGGTGCCTCCTCTTCCGTATGCACGAAAGCAGCTTGCACACTGTACGGGATGCTATGCGAAGTGCAGATCTCAGCACCACCACACAAGAACTTCTCTTTCCACTCTTTCTCTCTCAGACACTTGCTGGCAAACTGAAAGACGTCGTGTGCGGAAAACAAAGTTGCAAGGCGGGCTTCGCAGGCTCGGTAGCTGGTTTCAAGGATACGGTAGAAGGACTCTTCGCTCCTGTAGCTTGGCTGAGGTCTGGAAAACAGTTGTTCCTGATACACACTCAAGAGGTGCTCTCGCAGCAGCTCTACCCCCAGTGCAGAGGTCGTGGCTCCGAAGCTGCCTGTTCGAACACAATATGGCTCTTCCGCAAGGCTGCGGGAACTGCAAGCTACGGGCACCTATCCTAGACCACAACCCTCAAATCACAGAAGCAAGCTCAACGCCTGGGCCCCTGAACTCAACCGAAGAACGTGTCTCGAAGCTTGGTCGGCCAAGCTCCGCTACCATGAACAAACTCACGATCTTTTGCAACTCGATTCTGAGCCTGAATGTCGCATCACGATCTCATTTCAAGATGCTACTCCTACAAGGTCCAAAAGTCACACTCTGTTCAAGCAAAATATGGTTCACGGTACGGGAGAAAATGTTGATCACAGACTGTGGGCACTTCTATGTGGAGAATATACACCCACTGCCATGGCAGGGAGCCATTGAGCACCTGTGCAAAGAGGGTCATCCTCGTCTGTGCTTGGCCTGCGGCGGCACAGCTGTTTCGCCGCTTGCTTGGCTGTAACCTGATGGCTCTGATTGGATCAAAGCAGTTTTACCATGGAGATCCTTGCGCTTCGGCACGCAAACGTGATGTGAGCCCTCCCATCTCCTTACCGACGTACCTCGTGGGTTAGGGTTTGGAGGGACCTGATGCAGACTGATGCGCAGGCCAACGCAAAAGCTGTGTGGCCTTGTGTGCGATGTCTTGACTGGGGGTCTTCGGTCGTCACTTTAAACTCTGTGGTTTTAAGGGTTTGGCAACGTGCTGATGACGCTCACGGTGGAATCGGTAGCTGTAGCTACTCACGCAGTGAAGGCTTGGCCTCCCCTCTGGCCGTCTGATGAGACTTTGCTTGTGCGCGGACATCTATCCAGGTGGGCGCAGCTGCAAGCCAGGGTGAGCGGAGGACCTTTCGCTCGGGGCTGCTCCATTGGCTGACCACCATGGAGTGCCCTGGGCCGGTCTTGCCTTGATAGTTCTTGCTGTTAAGTCCCCACTGGCTGACCACCATGGGGCATACGCACGTCTTTCCTCTCCTTTGGGGAGTCTGACCTGTAACATCCCTTTGCCACTGCGGGTCTGTTATCTGTCCTTGACGATGGGTACGTGATCCTGACCATCGAGTGATGACCTCGGTTCGATTCGAATGATGTCGCACCAGTAGCTACATGATGGTGGTTTTGAGAATCTGGCAGTGTCGCAATTTGCGATTCCCCGCATGCTCTGTGCTGTATGATTGCACCGGGACTTCAACGACGACTTCGAGTACTGAGTGCGTGGGGTTACCTAGTAGTTCAGCGCCTTTGCTTGCTTTGTTTCTTCTGTTTCTTTGGTTCTTGGGTGGTTGCGTGGTGTGTTTGGTGGTTTGAGCGCGCTGACTTCGTTTCACCTGTTATGTCGAGCCCAACAAGACCGGCCTGCTGCGCTACTGATGTAGTAAAGAGGCGTCAGTCCAAAAAAAAAACAAAGCCCAGGGTGTCCGCAGCGTACTACGTCTGTACGACAAACAGTCGACTTTCCAGCCACGGAAGCTCCACATGTCCGCAGCGTACTACGTTTGTACTACAAAAGTCGACTTTCCGGCCACAGAAGCTCCGGGTGTCCGCGGCGTACTACGTCTGTAGTACAAAAGTCGACTTTCCAGCCACGGAAGCTCCGGGGGCGTCCGTGGCGTACTACATTTGTACTACAAAAGTCGACTTTCCAGCCACGGAAGCTCCGCGTGTCCGCGGCGTACTACGTTTGTACTACAAAAGTCGACTTTCCACGTACTACTTTTGTGCTACAAAAGTCGACTTTCCAGCCACGGAAGTGTCCGCGGCGTACTACGTCTGTACTACAAAAGTCGACTTTCCAGCCACGGAAGCTCCGGGGGCGTCCGTGGCGTACTACATTTGTACTACAAAGTCGACTTTCCAGCCACGGAAGCTCCGCGTGTCCGCGGCCAGGAGCTTGATGATCTCATCACACTTGTGGAGGCAGGGCCATGGCAGTGCTTCAGGGTTTACTTGCCTCGGGCTTGGCAAGGTTGCAAGTTGTTGTCAACAACAACTTGTTGAGTTTAGGGGAGCTACAGTTTGAAGATCTCGTGTGTGTGTGTGTGAGTGATTGAAATGGATGAAATTGACAGCCCGAAGCCTCCAGTCGGGTTGGAAGGTTGCATTTAACCTGACTGTTTGCCTGATCGTTCGTTTTTTCGGCCTTGGCTTCAGGATACTTGGGGCTCGGGGGTTTCGGAGGTTGAGGGCCCGCACTTGCAAGGGTAGGTTTGTCCACCTTTGTCGTGGGGATGCCAAATTTCTGGACCTGTTTCATCAAGTCTTAAATCAGCTGTGCTTCCCAATCCCAACTCCCAACTCTGAAGCTGTGTCTTGCAACCTACGCCCTTAAATAGCCTTCAAGCTAGCTGAAGCCCCAAAAAACTTTCGAAGGTTCTTTAAGCTCAGAGCAGCTTCCTTGCAAGCTGATAGCTGCCTCACCATGCTATAAGCGCCTACAGCTTCCGTCGGTCCCACGGTAAACCTTCGAAACCCTCGGCGCCAGGACATTTCCGAGGTCCTCCGAGCCATGGGCGTTGAGGACGAGGATGGACGGCCAAAGGCGGCACCGAGTTATGGCTATTTTAGGGTGTTTCAGAGACTTTCAGAGCGCTTCAGCGTTCGTGAGTGCCAAAGTATCCTAAACCGTAAACCCTAAGCCCTAAACCCTAACCCTAAACCCTAAGCCCTAAACCCTAACCCTAAACCCTAAACCCTAAACCCTAAACCTTAAACCCTAAACCCTAAACCCTAAACCCTAAACCCTAAACCCTAAACCCTGAACCCTAAACCCTAAGAGGCGCCACCTCCTTCTTCTGTTCCTCATGTCCCTCCAGCCATCGGCGCCCGCGGCCTCAGATTACTACGTTTGTACTACAACAGTCGACTTTCCAGCCACGGAAGCTCCGGGTGTCCGGGGCGTACTACGTCTGTACTATAAAAGTCGACTTTCCAACCACGGAACACTACGGTTTTAGCGCTGCGACCATGCGAAAACCCGCAGAGGGGTTACGTTTGTATGTCAGGAAACGCAAAAACACGACGGTTTTGGCACCTCGCCAACGCCGAAACCCGCAGAGGGGTTACGTTTGTACGTCAAAAAACGCAAAAACACGACGGTTTTGGCACCGCGCCAACGCCGAAACCCGCAGAGGGTGTCCGCGCGCGCGAAAAAAGTACCAAAAACGACGGTTTTAGCGCCGCGACCCGGCGATCACCCGCAGAGGGTTGTCTGCGTCCCGAAAGAAACGTCAAAACGCGACGGTTTTAGCACCGCGACCACGCCGAAACCCGCAGAGGGTTGTCTGTGTCCCGAAAGAAACGTCAAAACACGACGGTTTTAGCACCGCGACCACGCCGAAACCCGCAGAGGGTTGTCCGCGTCCCGCAAGAAACGTCACAAAACGACGGTTTTAGCACCGCGACCACGCTGAAACCCGCAGAGGGTTGCAATCCCGATTGGCGATGTCAACCCAGCCCGCCGCCTTAGAAAGAGCAATTGTAATTAAGAAATCTAAGACTGGGTAGTAAATCTCCTAGTTTCTATTCCACTCTATGCCATTCACTCTATGCACTTCACTCTATGCACTTCACTCTATGCACTTCACACTATGCACTTCAGTCTATGCACTTCACTCTATGCAATTCACTCTATGCACTTCACACTATGCACTTCACTCTATGCACTTCACTCTGTGCACTTCACTCTATGCAATTCACTCTATGCACTTCACACTATGCCCTTCACTCTATGCACTTCGCTCTATGCGCTTGACTCTATGCACTTCACTCTATGCACATCACTCCATGCACTTCACTCTATGCAATTCACTCTATGCACTTCACACTATGCCCTTCACTCTATGCACTTCGCTCTATGCGCTTGACTCTATGCACTTCACTCTATGCACATCACTCCATGCACTTCACTCTATGTACTTCACTCGATGTTGTTGGGTCAGAGGGCTCCGCACGGAAGAACCCTTCGCGATGCTTTCGGGAATTCAAAAGTTGTGAGGCACTTAACAAAAAAGTAATAAGGCGCAATAGAAAGTTAAAGCAAGTTTTAACACTTACAAACTTCTGTAAGTTTCCCTTGCTACCTTTTTACCTCAAGGTAAGCTACAAACAGTTCCACCAGGTTACAACAGGGTTACGTTAGGTTGCCAAGTCCCATCAGTCCAGTTAACGTTCGTACTGTTTGCACGCTGTCAGAGGATCAGGATCCGGGTAGCCAGCCATGCCTCCCAAGCAAAACGCTCCTTGCCAGGGACAGAAGAATCTTGAAGATAGGACGTATGAAACGTTCAAGGAAGCCTTCGATGCGGTCAAGGCAGATGCTCGCATCACAGCATCAGCCGAGCCCAAGCACAGGAGAGAGCACAAGCGAGATGACGTCGGCCAGAAGAAGAGCTTCACCTGCAGGGAGTGGTTTTTTGTGGAGGGGGACAAGAATCTGGTAATTGTCGAGCATCCGCCTCACAGATTCACGAAACCACAGGTAGAGTGGTCAAAAGGACCACATTTGCACGGCTACATGCCTGTGGTTCCTTCCGGCCCCTCCAACAACAGTGATTCTTACGCACACAACCAAGTCCAGCACCCAGACTGCAGAGCTCATTACTTCTTCCGCCAATTTTGGAAGGAGAGTGCACCGAAGGCAGATAAAGTGCGCGCGGTCGATGGTTGGGGCTGGGAGGACTGGGAGAAAAAGTTCGTCGGATCTCAAGCCAGTCACGACATGTACAATCAACTCCTACTTTTTGCGAACAAGGAGGAAGACACACAACGTGGCAAGAAGAGGGTCCACGTGGCAGTCACTGATCTGACAGAGGAAGAAACAGATGGTGAGGACTTCGAGGTCGAAGAATTCGCGGAGGAAAGGGTAGTGGAAGCGGCGATTACTGATGACAACGTTGTGGAAATCGTACAGTCCCTCTCCGAAGTCGGTCATGCCGTAAAGACTGGGAAGTCAGAGGCTCCCAAGACTCCCATGACTGAGCCTTCAGCGGCTCCATCCGCCGAAGTTGCAAAGGCGCCCTTGCCTTGCTCAGCACCGGCGACTCAATCCGGGTCCACTTCCGGAGATGCATCAAAGCAGATTGCACCGGTGGCTCAATCCGGGTCCAAGTCCGGAGATGCATCAAAGAAGAGCAAGAAGGGCTGGAAGATCCGCTGGACCACCACCATGACCCAGGCAGAGTTTGAACAAGCACTGCCAAGCCTCAGCCAGAAGCTCGCAGATGCATCTTCAAAGCTCACAGCTGAAGACGTACAAAAGAAGAAGCTCAGCCCCAAGGTGGTGGAGAAGCTGAAATCGAAACCGAAGCTGCGCCTTGTGAGCTTCAGCAGCCGCAGCCCAGCCGTGGACGATTCCGGCAGTGCTCCAGGGGGGCTTGGCGGAGATGCGGACACACCTGAAGAAGGCAAGGCCCCCGCCGAGGCTCGCGCCATTGAGGAGACGTGTTCCAGTGCATTGGAGGAGGTGGCGGCGAAAGTCTCAGGTCTTTGCGCTGCGAAGGCAGAGTGGGCGCGGGGCATCTCCTTGAGCGAGCCCTGCGATCTGAGCAAGGAGCTTTCTGAGCTCATGGCAGGCACCCGCATGGCTGACGTGGAAAGCCCCGATGTGGAGGATCCGCGGGAGCTTCTGCGGAAGTGCTCGGGAGGGCGTGCCCTGCAAGGCTGCATCCCCACGAAGGAACACTGGCAGCTGCTGCCGCCACAGCACCTTATGGCAGTGCCGCAGAAGGTGGAGATGAAGGTCTTGTCCTGGTCCACGGACATTGAAACACGCAGCGAGACGATGGAGGAGTGCAGCATGATGCGGACCATGGCCAAGTCCTTCGGCGTCACTAGGGCACGCAACTTGGAAACGAGCTCCAACGTCAGCGTTGCGGGCTATAGCAAGCAGTCTGAGTCCAAGGAGTCCAGCGCAGAGAAGGCCAACAGGGATGAGAGCAATGCGAGCAAGAGCAGCAGCCGCTCCCACACATCCCACCATCTGAGGGTCAAGGCAATCGGGAGATTCCTGCTTGATCTGCCTGAAAAGGCCGATTTGGCCTTCTCAGTTAAGGCGATGCAGCGCTTGCGCAGCATCTACAAGGCATGGTTGCCGCATTCAGACTCCGATGTGGTCATGGACCTGTTGGCGGAACAGGAGCGGAGCCGGATGCTGCGAGCATTCTTCGAGGACTTTGGATCACACCTGAACTGTGGACCTATCAGCATAGGGGGGCTCTTCATGATTGAGGGCAAGATCACATCCAAGGAGGAGCTCTCAGCTGAGTCTTCAAGCAAGCTTTTTGCACAGACTGTGAGGCGGGAAAGCTCCGAGTCGCAGAAGTCCGGCTTCGATGGTGAGGCCGCCAAGAAGGGCCTCATGCCTGAGGCCGGTGGAGCCGAGGCTGCGGGAGGCCAAGCTGGGATGGTCGCCCAAGGCGTCGGGAAGTTGCTCCAAACCGTCCACGTGTCCACCTCCAACTCGTCGGCAGCATCAGATGCCAAAGAGCAGGCTCGTCAAGAAGAGCGAGAGACTGTTGAGCAGCAGAGAAACGCTGCCGTGGAGATCAAGCGTAGCACCTATGGTGGTCTGCCCACGGACGACTTGGTCCAGTGGTCCGAGTCCGTGATGCGAGAGTCTGAGAAGGGGGCGCGCCTCGAAGTCATCGACTTCCGGCCCGACTTGGTGGGTGTGTGGGAGATCGTGCAGAACTCTTACTGGGATTTCGGCACCCTCAAAGCGCATGTTGTGCAAGCCAAAGAGCTGGCTAACTTTGTTACCACGCTGCAACTTGTTTTTGAGGATTCCTACTTCCGCTACTTCACTTTCCTTGCCATGAGCTTCGGAGTCGAGCGGGCGGTATTGAAAGACCGTGAGAAGATGCTGCAGACCATGCATCTGCCCAACAAGCCGCACTGGGTCCTCATGATTCCAAAGGCTGACAAAAGAGGCATCCCCAGCGACGATGTCCGCTCCATCCTGCCGGCGACGTGCACGGCCTGGGTCAACAGTGACTACAAGTCCATCCAAGAGTTTGCGCAGTACCTGATGCTTGAGTTTAAAGCCATGTTCGGGCAAGCGAGCTCCTGCCCAATTTGCAACAGACAGTGCCTACCCTGCGAGATGCCCAGCCACCTCAGGCACTGCTCCGCCAACGAGAGCTTGCCAGGCATTTTCTCGCAGAAGGAAAAGGAGCTGTTCTTGTCCTATGAGTTGCGCATGCACTACAGTGGCATGGGCACTGGGAGGCTGGGCTTCTGCTTGATGATGAAGATTTGCTGCTTCCTTTGCGGGGAGAAGATCTCGGCCTGCAAGTTGTTCGACCACCTTCGCGATTGCAGCAAGGCGATGCAGGGCCCAACATCCTGGAAGGTGAAGGGCGAAGGCTCGAAGGGAGTGTACTGCGACCCTGTGGGCGTTCTCCCCCTCACCACCTACAAGCCAAAGATCCCAGTCAACCTTCAGGTGATCCCTGGTAGCGATGCAGAGAACTTCATGACGATTTCGGGGCTCATTGTCCAGAAGTTCATCCCCTTCGCGCGAAAGCTCCCGCCACATGTGGAAGCCATGCTGAAGGAAGGGTACACGCTCCGTCGGAAGAATGGGGTGTTGGACAAAGAGGAGGCACGGGAGAAGGGGGAGATGGAGGCTACGGATGCCATAAAGCTGGAGAGCATGAGGAGCCACTGGGAGAAGGAAGATATTCCCGAGCAGCTGCAGCGATTCGGGGTGCACTTCAACCAGAAGATGAAGGAGGCGGGCTTCTTCGACAAGGATAATCTGGACGGCGATGCACTAAGCACGCACGAGCATCAACCAGCTGATCCAGTGATGAGGACATACTTCATGGACAAGTCGCAGCAATTGCGGCATGCAGCTCTCAGCAATTATTGCAGTGGGCAGATTCGGACAATCGTCCAGAAGTTCGTGAAGAAGCTCAAGTTGCCCCTCAGCAAAGAAGACATTGAAGAACAGAAGAAGGCATGCCGTGAGGAGATCCAGAACCAACTTGAGAGGAAGGCGTGGAAGATTCTCAAGCTGGACTGGCTGTGTCATTGCAAAGATGCAAAGGTGGTGAAGTGCTGCGAGGTGACGGCCGCCCAAGTGATCCAGAAGGTTGACAACTGCGTCGAGTGGCTCTGGGAGGGCATCGAGAAAATGATTCCTGACTATTCCCTGGAGACTTGGCAAGCGGAGTGGCAGGACGGGGTGTGGTTCTTGGGGTGCCTCTGGCAACCACAGAAGGATAAGCCCGAGACCAAAGAATGGTCCAAGCGTGATAACATCGACGAGTGGCGTTTCTGCAATGCTGAGCCCCTATCCAAGCGCCATGACGATGTCCTGAACTTTGATTTTGAACTCTTCTTTGACGAACAGAGTCTGACCCCAGCGCAGAGGCTGTGCCGGTCCATTTACACTTGGTACACGCAGCTGCAGCAAGGCCCGGAGGCGAATGCAAAACCTGTTCACGAAGCTTTGGACCAGTTGCAGGCGGGGCCAAAGCTTGAGGGTTCTTCATAGCTCAGGGCTGCCTAATGACACTCTCAGGCTCAGAGATATAGAGATATCCATCGTTAAACGTTACGTCCTTCTCCCAACCCTTTCTCTTACTTTCCCTTTCCTTCCGTTTCCTTCTCCTTCCTTCTCCTTCCTTCTCTTTTTTTCTCCTTCCTTTTCCTTCCCTTTCCTTCCCTTTCCTTCCCTTTCCTTCTCTTTCGTTCGCTTTTTTACCTACTTCCTTTGCCTTGGGCCTCTTGAAAAAAACTTCCACAGTTATCCTCCTCCTGCCCTGCGTGTTCCTTTGCTGGACTGTTGCTTCAACCATGTCCACTCGCGTCGGAGTTTTTTGCGCATACTTGGCGGTGTCGGACATCGATAGCACGTCTAGCGACCTAAAGGCGCAGCAAACAGCTTTGCCTGCAGTCAAAACTCAAACTCTCCTGAGATCAGAGCCCACAGCAACTTTCACAACCGTTCCTGAGCAACAACCTCGCACCAGCCACCTCAACAGCCTACCTTGTCAGCCCCTGGAAAGCTCCCTCATCAGTGCTCCGCGTAGCCCAACAGCTCGGCAGCTGCACCCTCACGCGCTTAGCACCAGGACAGCACCCTCTCGCAAGCTGGCGCCCGCAACAGCGCATTCAACTGGCGACCTGCTGTACGATCCGTACTCGCTTTCCTCGGCTTTGGGAGCCTTTGGAAGAACCCCTGTGGCTTTCACAGTATCTAGAGAACAACACAGCGCCAACTGAGGTACCCTTGAAATCCCTTCATAGGGAAACACTCGGAAAAGTTTGAAAAACACCCGTGCAATTTGGAAGAGCAAACGAGAATGCCGTCCTTCACAGGTGATTTCACGTTCAACAGGGGCTGGCGAGACAAAGTTTCCAAGAAACCGACTTGAATTCGTGTAGAATTTGCGGAGTGCTGCAGGTGGTTTCCAGCAATGCTCCGGAGCTGGCGAGCATCTTCGACGAGCTGCTCAAGGCCACGTGGAAAGGCCACAAGGCGTGTCAGATGGCATGCGAGGTTTGCTTGGGTCCTTTGTGTGCTGGGTCCCACGAGACGAAAAGAAAGTGCCTTGTTATGGAGCTGCTTCTGGACAAGTTCAAGCTCCATTTGGCGCGGTCACCGGTCGTCGCAGAAAATGCAGTGGAGCTTTTTGCCCGCAATCCTCACCTTCGGGGCAAGTTGCAGACGACCCTCCGAGATCCAAAGACGTATTTGGAGTTTTGGCTGAGATGTTCAGTCGACAGCATCGACGTGAAGGATGCGCTGCAAGTGATTCTCCAGCACCTCGCGGTTCTCAACATGGACAACATCCACGACCCGCTTGGCCTCGCATCGCATCTCTGCCAGGTGGTTTCCCAGATCAGCGGAGCAGTCCCACCGCTCTATGTGCGATTGTGTGAGTTGCTGGCTGACCGCTACTTCCAGCACTACCAATCCCAGCCGCAGAAGCCGTTCCACTTCATGAAGCACCTGTGCATGCGCGATCCTCCAAGCTCCTCTCATGCCATGGACCTGCTTTGGGCGATCAAGGTGAGCCATAGCCCGGCCTTGCAGACCTTGTGTGACAAGTTCTTGGAACGAGCTTCGGGCGGTGCCAAACTGAAGTCCATTGCCTTTGCGCTGCTGCGGGCGGCGTGGGGTGACGAGTTTCAGAACGAGGCAGCCTGCCTTAGTACCTTAGCGCTTGTGCCCGAGGAGAGGCGAAAGCAGTTTCTGTTTGAGAGGACCAAGTGCGCCGATGAAACTCTTGTGCGCAACTTGCTGCAGATCAAGTACTGGCACAGCACGCCCTATCTCAAGCAGCTGCTGTACCACTGGCATGATGGAGTGCTAATTGACATGCTGCTGATGCTCGAGAGCGACTCTGAGCCAGAAGTCCCCAGCCCTCAGTCACTCCTGTTTGCAGAGGCGAGGGCAGAGAGCGACGGTGAGCAGCTCGAGATTATCATGCAGCTGCAGCCAAACCCGGACCCCTCCGCGCCAGGGGAGGATGGCACGGGCATGTCCGCCTTGGACTATTGCATGCTCCATGATGACAAAGGCTTCCGGATGTTCCAAGCATGCAGCGCAGCAATGCAGGGGCTGGCCTTGATTGCGGCCGTGAACTATGGCAGCGCCAAGCTGGTGGACCAGCTGCTTGCTGCGTGCCAGGAGGCCCGAGTGTGTCTTTGAGTGCATGTGTCAGCGTGTATGTATGCGTGAGTGCGTGCGTGCGTGCGGTCGGTGGCTGTGTGTGTGATCCTCCCGTGGCCGCTCGGCAGGAAATAGGCCGCGTCCAAGATCCGCTGGGTTCAAACCTACTCCATGCTCTGATCCAGTCACACGGTGCTTTCGACCCGGTGGCAATGCAGGGTCGGAGGCCCCGCCATCAGATCCAGGAAGCTCCGCAGGTTCAGCTGGTCAAGTTGCTCGAGCTCCGCGCAAACGTGAATGCTGTCGGTGGGCAGCCACTGCGAAGCCCGCTGGAGCTGGCCTGCGAGCGCATGATTGCACCCAAAGCAGCCTTGGCCATGATCAGGCAACTCTTGCAGGCGCAGGCATCAGTGGATGTGTCCCATGGCCTAGGTGCCCTCAATTTCGCTGTCCAGAACCCAGCTGTCCCGTTTGAAGTCGTGGACCTGCTGCTGCAGCACAATGCTGAAGTCACGCCGAGCATTCTTGAAGTTGCCCGCAAGAACCCTCGGCTGGCCTCAGAGACGCTAGCCGCGCTGGAGCAAGCGCTTCAGCTAGAAAAAGGTGCGGCCCCCCACAGCGATCTTGCGCAAGTCCCTGTGCTAGTGAGGACCTCTTGCGGCCCAGACTTACCCGCAAGCCCTCGGACTCCTCGGACTGCAAGCCCTCGGACTCCTCGGACTGTCAGGTACGCGTATACTACCGTGACTGCTTCCCCTGGAGCAACTTACAGGTCGACTCAGAGTCTGACTACCATGACCGCTTCCCCTGGAGCAACTTACAGGTCGACCCAGAGTCTCACTGATTTGGTTGGCCAGCTGCGTACTCCACGCTCCTGATGAGTGCTGTACAGAAGTAGAGGCAGGTGATGGATCTCAGAGAGCTGCCGTGTCTGTAAAAATGTAGCGAGACATTGCTGCTGCAAGCGCAGCTTCGCCTTGGTTCTGGATGGAAGCATACTGCGCATGCTCTCCCATGACCGTTGCCTGCTCTCAGAATCAGGCAATCCAACCTGGCAAAGGCCTGGCGCCATCCGCATAAGCCTGAGTAGAGCCATCGTGCCATGACAACGAGGTATGGCGACCAAGATGGTGAACTGTGCAGTCAAGTCGATATGGAGTTGCCCTGCAGCTTCGAACTTGTTCGGGACTTGATGCAAAAGTTGGATGAAACACAATTCAAAGAGGTCATCGATAAGGTCCAGCGCATCCACAATGGGGAAGACTTCGCTGCGTTCGTCTTCCTAAGTGGCAAGCTCATGAAGTTCTATCTGTACAACCCGGACGACACCAGCCACACAAGTAGCCGGCCGGACACGCGACATGACAGAGTAACCAAAGGAGATGGCGAAATCTATGTGACACGCACGCGTGGGCAGTTTCAGACATATCCTAAATTCCCGGGAACCGTCATCAAAAACTACCACCAGTACAATTTCGGTGTGCATGTCATCAAGTCCGATTCCGTGTTTCAAAGTCTCACCGTTGCAAAAAGCAGCTCCATGAACTTAAGGAACCCTTTTCTAGGGTATAGGGTTTAGGTAGGGTTTAGGTTTAGGGTTTAGGGTTTAGGGTTTAGGTTTTAGGCTTTAGGGTTTAGGCTTTAGGGTTTAGGCTTTAGAGTTTAGGGTTTAGGGTTTACGGTTTCGGGTTTAACCCCCAGATTCGGGATGCTGCCGAATGGTAACTTCGGGCTGCTGCCTTTGAATGGTTGAAAGGGCAACTGGCGAGTGCGAAAAGCACGATAGCGCTGCTGACAGACTTGAGAGACTGGTTGGCCGTTGTTGCGCTTTCTAGGCGCTACGCAGCACAAGTGCGGTAACTTGAATCGCAACAGCCTCGCCAGCATAATTGGTGATTGCACATTGGCAATGATACTTGATGAAGGGTGGGTTGAGCATTCAGCATTGCTGGCGATAAAGGACACTTATTGACCTAGCTGCTTGGTAGCCGAAGAGCTCGCCAGTGCAGTGCGTGCGGAGCGCACGCACGCAAGCAGCGCACGCGCACGCATAAGCGAGCGCTTTGACACGCATGTGTTGCCAGGTTAAGCATGCAGGCACAAGCAGGCAAGACGTGGCTGCTGTTGGGTAGTTCTTCCCGCACTTGTGCAAGCTCCATGAGCGGAAGCAACATGGGCCAAAATTGACCTCCTGCCACTGACGCTGTTTACAACAATCGTGTTGTTGAGCAGTTATGCCGCTTTTAGAAACCTGCGGCACGGGCACTTCGACTGGCATGGCTTGGCAACACCCGTGCAGGCCGAGACAAATGTTCCCAGGAGACAGCTTGCAATCCAGAAACGCCAAAAAGTCCATGCCCAGGGGGTTTTGATCGAGTTCTTCGGCGCACACATCCTCATGACATTGCTGTCCGGAGCAGGCCGTGGCATTTTTTTGATTTCAGTGTCAGCATGGAAGTGTTGGCCGATCGGCTGAAACATGAAAATTTGAATGTTTGCCCTTGAGTTGCCAAACTGGACGGCATGGGCATCGAATGCGCATTACAGTAGATGCTGTTTTGATATTATAACGGCCCGGGGTACTAGGGAAAATGGCCGAGCGATTCGCATGGAATCACTCTTTCAGTGGCTTGTAAACACCAGAAACCTAGAACCATGAATGTTGCAACAAAAGCAGTTCGTCCCTTTCACAGCATCTCGGCTTTCATTCCTGCCTGGAGGCCGGCGCCTTGTCTTTCTGAACTATTGGGCCAATCCTCAGCTTAAGATCGCTTGTCAAGTTGCAAGGCTAAAGGCATAGAGTTTATGTTGAGATTCGATCTGCATCAAACGGTTGGAACCATAGATGGATATATCCGTTTGGCCAACCTGAGCCGTAGCTGTTTGAGATCGGACAAGTGAATACCAATTTGTCATGGAGGTCGTTTAAGGCATTTGCGCCGGCAGGTGATTGTAGATAATTACTGCACAGGGTTTTTCGTTTTTGTTCGGACGAGCCTTAACCAAAAACCTCAGTGCATGGGATCTTCCAATCTCCTTGTAGCCTCATGAATCCGGCAAGCCACCGCAGCTTGATGAGGCGGTTGTTTGTGTACTGAATGCATGGAGCTGTTGAGTTGGGATTGCAATAGGCCCTCGCCAGGCGAGAGCTCAGAGGCAAAGGCAGCATCCACTAGAGTAGTCACTAGAGCTATAGGTTCAGGCTGCCGCCTCCTACGCTTGTTGTGATCCGCTTTGACCTCCAACTGGTGCAGGGGCTCGGGGTTTGCTGCAATGTCCTGTTCTAATGTTCGGGTGCAGCAGGCTTCAAGTCACAAGTCAACCTTCAGCACCTGGGAACCCCACGATTGCATGGTGAAACCAATGAGTCGTGACTACTTTGTGTGTTTGATTGTGTTCCCCGAAACCCTTACACCATTTTGTGCCAATGGTTCGAAGATTCTGAAGGGTTGCAGGGTGTTTCAAGTGTTGAGTTTCGATTTTGTCACCCCATGGCAGGGCCATGTGGCGCTTCGCGCTCGCACTCGGCTCTGCTGCAACTGCTGCCGCGAGCTTGGAAACGGGAACGGCTTTGTTGGCTGTTGTGGTGTTGTACTCGTGTTTGTTGCCTTTGGACATTCGATTCTCAGAGAAGCCTGGAGGGGAGATGAATTCAGATTCAGGGGTGGCGGGCAAGATTGCTGCGGGAGTTATGGGTATTAAGCAAAACTTGTACTGCATCCCAATCGTGACTTTCTCAATCAAGCAGCTATTTGCTTTGGGGCCAAGCTAGTGTTGAAAACATACATGAAGAGCCGGCCTGACATAAGTAAAAACAGCGGGCTCCTTGTACGACCATGCGTTGCGCTGATGACAACCAGGCTGCGAAAGGCTCTCCATCGCCGTTGATGCAGGCGGGAGACTCCCCTGGGAGCTATAGAACGTCGATTTCGTGATTTGGTGCTGGAGTTTCTTGGGCATGCAAGAACCTCAAACCCAAGCAAAGGCTCTGCTTGACCTTCTAAAGCAGCTGCAGTCAGTTGCGCTCAGTTTCAAGTATTCTAAGAGCTTTCCAGCTTGGTTGTTGTGCTTGAAGATTGTCCGGAATGAAGGTTTCAGGATACTGAGGTTTGACGCTGCTCGGCAGAAGATTTACCATCTCGTGCGATTGCAAGCCGGCTTCAAACCCAGCTAGGCAACTGCATGTCCATTCCGCGATGTCCATGTGCAAATTTTTGTCGCTTGCGCTGGTGCAGCTCGTCGCAAGAGGACTCGGAGGCCCTGCGTGCCCCAGGGCCAACGACACAGTGGGGCTTTTGCAGTTGCGGAAGACCAAAGATGAAAGGGCGGTTCAGCTTACAGAAGATGGTTGCTGTATCAAGATCGATGCATCAAACACCAGCAGCCCTAAGTTGGTGGGAACAGAGCACAGCACCGCAGAGCAGTGTTACCATCCGACTGAGGGTCAGGACGCCGATGGCGTCTGTCGCTTTTTGGTACACAGTTGCACCGAGGACGTCATCAACGACCTCTTAAACCCCAAGAACTGGCCTTCGGTTGAAGGGGGGCCGGTCAGGGAGAGTAGCGAGCTGAACCAGTCAGTAGAAGTCTTGCTGGGAGCATCCTCAAATGCTGTTGCAGCCACGTCTACCACGGCTGTGGCCCAAGGCTACACAGTTTTTGAGGACTTCGAGGCCCCAGGCTGGCCCTATAGTGGGCTGACTTACCTGAGCACCAGCCGCTTCGGTGTCGTTACAAGCAATCCTGGTGCCGGTGCCGAGGGCACTGCAAGCTACCTGCATGGTCCCAGCTATTCCAGCTGGCTGCCAGGAGCCACGTGGGACGTGGCTTCGGGGTATCCTGTCACGAGCCAGACAGGAACAACCCTACAGGCTTGGGTGCGGTTTCCGAGCCGCGATGATTCGTGTTCGCTTTGTTTTGGCGAAGTCTATATTGGCTTCGACACGAATGCATTCGGCACCAGGGGATTCAGATTGAGCGATTACGGTGGAACTTCCATGGTGTACAAGTTTTACGACAACACGTATGCCTTGGGTTTCGGGGCCAGTGTGAGTGAAAGCTCACAAGGCACAGCAAATGCTTCTGAATTTGTAGACCAATGGCTTCGGGTCCTGATTACCATCCTTTCTGATCGGGAAGTAGTCGCGAGGGTCTACGACAACCCCGGCAATCTCAAGCTGGAAAGGGCTTTAAACTGGGAAGACGAGTTTGATGGCAGGCTCTTTTCTCAGTCTGGCGCGGCTTGGGTTAAGGTTGCCTTTGAACGGCATGTGGACCAGCTAGCCATTTGCCAAGCTACCTTTGCCCATGAGCTCGTGAATGATCAAGGGCTTTGCAGTTCCTCCGTTCTTCCTTTGACCGATGTATGCATCCCGGACATGGCCTATGCTTGCTCCCCGTCACCCCTCCCGCTGGGGACGCAGAACGTGACGTGCACCGGCAGTGCTCCGAACACGTCTCAATCATACGCCTTCCAGGTGGTGGTCGCTGACTCAGAAGTGCCTGTGTTTGTCTCTGTCCCTACGGAGGTGACCGCGGAAACATGCAATGACAGTGCCCAAGTCAGTTTCATTGTGGAGGCAACCGACAATTGTGAGGTGTCTGTCCAGTGCACTCCTGCCTCTGGATCCGAGTTTACTTTGGGCAGCCACACCGTCACATGCACTGCCACAGACGCTTCCGGGAACGCTGCCAACACCAGCTTCGCAGTGATAGTGGCGTTCAGGGACGACACGCCTCCTGTCTTCGTCGCCCACAATGACATCACCACAAGCACATGCCATGACTTTGCCCAGGTGATTTACCAAGTGGAGGTTGCGGACAACTGTGGAGAGGTGGTTCCCGGAGTCCCCATTTGTGGACCGGCATCGGGGAGCTT